TTAGTTTCTTTTGACAAGTGGCTTCTGATTGTGCCCAGCCAGACTGCAGCAGTTAGTCACAGCAGTGACTCCTCTTCTTGGTACTAATTTATTTTATTCAGATTCTTCACTGCTCTGACTAAAAGACCCAACCAGCAAAGTTATAGAGGAAGGAAGGTGATTTGAGGGCTCATGGTTTCAGAGGTCTCAATCTATTGCTGGTTCCATTCCTTGGAGCTCAAGATGAAACAGGACATCATGGTGAAAGAGTGCGGTAGAGGGAAGCAGCTCTCATGATGATCAGGAAGGAGATATCTAGCTAGCTCACTAGCTCAATAGATCCCCACTTGCTGGATACAAATATATATGTCAAAGGCTTACCCCAAATGCCCCGTCTCCTCCAGTCACACCCCACTTGCCTCCAGTCACCACTCAATTAAGACAATCAGGAGATTAATTTACTGATTGAGTTAAGGCTCTTATAGCCCCATAATTTCTTCTCTGAACCTTCTTGCATTGTCTCACACATGAACATTGGGAGACACCTCACATCCAAATCATTAACACTTGTGGTGATTATAATTAATATCTTATCCTATTATAGATTCTAAAACATATAAGTGCTGTCCTATGCCTTTAATACTAACATGATCTCTATTCTATACAGTCCACCACTAATATAATAGCTACCCTGTGGCCTTTAATAATAATATAATACCCATACTATATCGTTCATATTATAGCTTCTAAAACTAATAAAATTTCTGTCCTATGACCTTTAATGCTAATATGATCTCCATATTATACAGTCTAAAACTATTATAATAGCTGCCCTGTGACATTGAATACTAAAATGATATTTGTACTATGGCATCTAAAAGTAATAAAATTAACAAAATATGACTAATTCCCCTTATCTAATGACATCCATATAAATATATATATTTATATATATTTTTATTTATATATGACTCTCCTGTGGTCTTTAATAACAATGTAATATATATACTATAGCGTCTAAAACATGTAGTTACCATGTAGACTTTGATACTAATATTCATAATACACTACTTGAAACAAATATAATAGCTGTGCTTTGGCATATATATAAAAAATATTATATTTATATAAATAAATAAATATAACAAAGTGACTCTCCTGTGGTCTTTAATAACAATGTAATATCTGTACTATAGCATCTAAAACAGAAGAGCTCTTCTATGGCCTTTAGTATTATTATAATATGCATTCTAAAGATAATAGAATAACTGTATTTTGGCCTATAATATTCTAAATATATCCATAGCACAGCCTCTAAAACTAGTTTAATAACTGCCCTGTGTCTTTTAGTGCTAATATCATGTGCATGCTATTGCATGTAAAGCTAATATAATAGCTGCACTATTGCCTTCATTATCAATGTAATATCAATACTATAGCATATTAAATAAATATAGTACCTACCATGTGGCATTATTATTAATGTGATAACTATATTGTAGCATCTGATTCTAATATAATGGCTGATTTGTGAACTTTAATATTAATAAACTATCACTAATACAGCACTTAAATAAATATAATAGCTGCCCTGCAGCCTTTAATGTTGATGTGATATCCATGCTACAGCATCATATACTAATATATTAACTTTCTTGTAATCTTTCATACTAATGATATCCAACATATAATATCTAAAATATAATAACTGCCATGTGGTTTTAAAAAATACTCTAGTATCATTAATATAGAATTTAAAATTTATATAATAGTTGCCATGTGACCTGTATATTTATATGATATCCAAACTATAACATCTGATACTAAAGTAATAGCTCCTTGTAGTCTTTTACAGTACTATGATATTCATACTATAGCCTCTCAATCTTACAGAATAGCTCTCCTGTCGCCTTTAATACCAATGAATATATACTGTCTTATGTAATCTAACTTAATAATAATAATATAATATAAATTCCCTGTGTCCTTTAACATTAAAGTAATATCCATATATATCACTACTGTGATATCCATATTATAGACTCTAAAACTGATACAATAGCTGCCCTGTGACCTTTAATATAGATGTACTATCTACACTATAGAATTCTGTACTAATATATTAGCTGCCTATAGTTTTTTATAATAGCATATCTATTCTATCACGTCTCAAGCTAATAATAGATGCCCTGCATTTCTTAATATCAATGTAATAATTATATGGCACCATCTCTAACTAATATAATAGGTGCCTTGTGACCTTAAATATTAATATCATAATAATTAATATAATATTGATGTTATATTAATACATGTCCTGTGCCCTTAGTAATAATCACATATGATCTGACACTAGTATACTAGATATCTTATGGCCTTTAATATAATATGCTATCCATAGTATAGCATCTAAACCTAATATAATAGCTGTCTGGGTTCTTTAATATTAATATAATAAACATATTGTACTCTTAGTTTCAAATATATAATAGCTGCTCTGTGTCCTTTAGTACTAAAATAATATCTACAAGATAGCATCTAAAATAACAACTATCCTTTGGCTTTCATATCAATATAATATTCCTAATATAGAGCCAAAAACTAATATAATGGCTTTCTTATGGACTTTAATACTTATATCCATATAATAGCATCTGAAAGTGATGCAATATCTTCTCTGTGGCCTTCAATACTAATGGTATGCATAGTGCAGTAAATAAAACTAACATAATGTCTGCCTTTACTGGACTTTACCACTAAGAAAATATACAAAGTATAGCATCTAAAACTAATATGATAGTTACCATGTAGACTTTGATACTAATATTCATAATACACTATTTGAAATAAATAATAATAGCTGTGCTTTGGCCTTTAATATGATATAATATTTGTACTATAAGCATCTAAAACTCATATAATAGCTGTCCTGAGTCTTTAATACTATTATGAAATTCATAAGGCAGCATCTAATATTAATATAATAGTTGTTTTTGTATCTGTTACTAGTAGTAAAATATCCATGCTATATCATCCAAAATGTAATAATTGCCCTGTAGGCTTTTTTAGTAAAATGATATCCATACTCTAGCATCTCAAGCTAATATAATAGCTGCCCTCTGGTAATTAGTAATAATGTAGTATTCATATTATTGCATCTTAAACTGATGTAATAGATATTCTGTACCTTTAACATTAATACAATATTTATGCTAGAATCTAAAACTAACATAAAATGTAACCCATGGTCTTTAATCTAACATAATATCCACTCTAAAGCATCTTAAACTAATATAATACGTCCTTGATCTTAAATACTAATGTGATATTCATATTATAGCATTTGATACTAATATAATAGCTTCCCGTTGTCCTTTAATATTAAAATAGCATTTATACTATGCTATCTTTTTTTAAAAAAAATTTTAGTTATAGTTGGACATAATGTTTTTATTTTATTTTTACGTGCTGTTGAGGATCAAACCCAGTGCCTCATGCATGATAGGCAATTGTTCTACCTCTGAGCCACAACCCCAGCCCTATACTATGCCATCTTAAAATCATATAATATCTGTCCTGTGGCCTTGATTATTATATTAATGTAAGTCCATACTAAAACTATTATAATAGCTGCCCTGTGGCATTTAATATCAATAGGATATCCCTTACTGAGTCCTCTAAAACTTGCTTAATAGCTTTCCTATGTCTTTTGTAACCAATATAATATCTACCCTGTAGCATCGAAAACTAAAAGGACAGCTGCATTGTAGCCTTTTATATTCATGTAATATCCATAGCAGCATCTAAAATTGATATAATAGCTATGGTGTATCTTTTAATATTAACATGATTTTTCACATTATAGCATCAAAAATGATATAGCTATCCTGAGATCTTTAATACTAATATGAGATCCATATTTTATCATCTAAAACTGATGTAATAGTTGCTCTGTGGCCTTTAATATTAATATGATGTCCCTACCGAGTCCTCTAAAACTTATTAGTTAGATTCCCTATGTCTTTTGTTACTAACATAATATCCATCCTATAGAATCTCAAACTAAAACAATAGTTGCCTTGTGGCCTTTTATATTAATGTAATATCTAAAATTGATAAAATATATGCCCTCTGGCCTTAAAAACTGATATCATATAGAAGTTATAGACACTAACACTATTATAACTGCTGCCTTGTGGTCTCTAAAACCAAATGATGTCCACACTCTAACATCTATAACTAATATAATATCTGGCATATGTCCTTTACTACTATGGAAATATTCATGCTCTAGCATCCTAAAGTAATAGCTTCCCTGTGGCTTTCAGCACTAATATAATATCCATACTATTTTATCTAAAGCTAATATATATATCTCACATCTAATACTAATAAAATATCCAAGTGTGATCTTTATAGTACTATAATATTCATAATATAGCATCTAAAATAAATATAATAGCTGCCTTGTGACCTTTTATATTAATTAATATCCATATTATAGCATCCTAAGCTAATATGATATATATCCTGTAGCCTTTAACACTAGTGTACTATTCACATATTAGTACCTAAAACTGCTAAAATAACTGCCCTTTGGCCTGTAACATCGATGTAATATTCATATTTTGCTATCTCAAGCTAATGTAATAGCTGACATGTGGCCTCTCATATATTTATATTATGTCCATAGAATAGCATAAAAACTAATATGATAGCTGACATCTGGACTTTGAGTTAATGCAATATTAATAAAATAACATCTTAAACTAATATAATGGGTAAACTTTGGTCCTTAATACTAATAGATGTTATAACATGTATACCACAGAATCATATACTAATATTTTATCTGCCCTTGACCTTTAGTTTTAATATAATACCCATAGTATAGCATTTGAAACTAATTTCATAACTATTCTATGGACTTTGATATTAATATTATATTTGTGTTTTGGCATTATAAACTAATATAATAGCTGCATTA